CTATCTCTCCGCCTATTGAGAACATGGTCGTGGTGTGAATGCAACACTGGTCTAGGTGGTTGATGATAAACCGGAGGTCGGTTTTGATGATGATGGTAATGATGCTCGTCTCGGCTAGGTCCTTCAAACGTCGGATGAGCGCGGTTGGGAGGGAACGGATGTGGCACGATGCTTACGGCTGGGTCTTGGTAACTCCGGCCGTGGAGATCGTGTGGGATCAGTGTCCGGTTCCCAAAGTGGATGTTGGTGTTGTGATTCATCTCCAAGTACCTATAAACACAAGATTTAAAAGAAAAAGTTAGTATTCGAAAATACCAAGATCTAGACTTAGTTTTAAACAAGACTATGCAAGTGTTTATGATGCAATCCCCGGCAACGGCGCCAAAAACTTGATGCGCTGCATCTATGGGATGAGTACAAGTAATAATTCCCTAAGACAACTAGTGTTGCAAGTGCACAACATATAATTGTAGTATTTAGGGGTCGAACCACAAGGGATTGGATTTCACACATTACATAATCATAGAGTTTAAATGACTAAGCTAAATCAAAAGATGCAAGGGTTTGTGTTTGTTTAGAACACGCAAAAGAAATAACAATGCAATTCTATACAAGCAACATTATTGAACTATTGAAAACTCTTTTGAAAACATGAGCCAAGTCGATTGAAAAGTTTGTTAAAATCCGATTCTTTTGAACTCAAAACACTAAGGAAGGATTATTCCACTTTCGTGGTTCCAATCCCCTATGTCTCTTAAACCAATGGGCTCAGCTTTCGTTGGTCATTGTAGAGTGAGACATGCATTACATCCAAGTAATGATTGTTCACAAAACTCTTTAGGTCTACTTTCGTAGCCTAAAACGATTTGCCCATCAAATATTGTGTCCGGAGATATAACAAGCTTTTGGAGAGTATATCAACCTAAAATCAAGTCACTAGTTAGCTACTCTAGCAACAAGCATTAAGCATAAATAAAGATGGAGAACCATAGGGTTTCCCCTTTTAACAATCGATTCGATGGCCATTATATCACGTCCTCATTGGAAGGATCCATAATTCAACAATGAGTCTTAGATAGTAGATGAAGTCTCATGAATCCTTAGAGAGAGAGGCGGCGGAATATAGACTAAACCACGCCTCACCCTTAGGGAGAAATCTCTACTTCTAGACTATAAATTGAAACATGCAAGCTATATACAAATGCAAAAGAAGAAAAGAAAGAAGAAGGAGACCACCTAAGTGGCTCCGAACTTTATTGAATAAGTGTTTCTTGTTATGCGGCTGGTGATTCTTATTACAAGAGGCTAAAAGCAAGTATATATAGGTAGAGAGCGGGTCTAGGTCGGCAAAGTTGAGCGCGCGCAGAAGAGGAAAGTTTCCATTTCTCTTTAGCCGCTTGAGCTTGCTCTCCAAGTTCTTGAATGGGCCGTTCAGGCCAATGGAAGCTTCTGGATTGAGTTATGCTAGTGTCAAGATGAGCCAAGGCCTTGGGCGCGGTATCTCGGGCCTCTTGATCCATCAAAGTCTCCATGGGCTCTACTTAGGCGCTCGTCGGACATGTCTTGGTAGAAAATAAGTTCCGGTCCAACGAGTGATCCAAATGACCTCTTTCCACTTCGCCGCGGGTCATGACTCAAATATCTATCTTTCCATATAAGAATCATGACTTTTGGACGTCGGGAAGGCATGAATATGCGGTCGTACTTCGGATGCTCCGGTTTGGTCTTTAGCGAGAAATGTAGATTTGGTGCTCTAGACTTGGGAACTTGGTGATTTGACTCTTTTTGCTCCATTTTGGACTCTTCTTTGCTATTTTGACCTGAATGATGCTCAAAACCAGAATATACAAGAAAACTACCTCTTGGGCATAAAAACCACATTATTTGTATTAAAAACATAGTGAAAACCTTGATAAAAACATGAAAGATATGGGTATATCATTCTTCCTCCTCCTCCTGTGGCTCAGCCTCCTCCATGAACTCATCTTGGTTACTATCATGTTCACTTCCATCAACCTCTTGATTGACGTCTTCACCCTCTTCTTCACTTGGAGAGCCATCACTCTCCTCTTGAACAAGGTTCACCCCAATCTCAAACTCTCCTTGCTCACTCTCACTACTAATGGGGTCATTCCTTTTCTTGGTCCTCCTCTTCTCCCTCAATCTCTCGCTCTCAGACTCCTCTTCAGAGTAGACATACTCCTCTGCCTCAGACTCTTCGATCCTTTGATTCATTCTTTCCAAATCGGCTTGCATCTTTAGCCTTCTCTCCCTTGCATTGCTTGATTCACCCTTAACCATTCTCCTCTGTGAAGCACGGCTTCCCTCACTGTTTGTCATCCTTGTTATGCTGTTTTTCCACTAAATTTCCTGAAATTCATCAACGAATTCAAAGAATTAGAGTTGTAATAATCGGTTTGGTCAACTCGACACCCAGCTCGATCGAGTAAAAAAAAACTCGAGTGACAAACTCGATCGAGCTAGGTGAAAAGAGAGTATAACCGAACCTAAATCAAGTATTAAGAGATAGATAAGATGCTAATCAATCAAATCGAACCAAGAACATCAAGTAATTGGGACAATAAGCAATTCAAGTGAAGAAAAATCGATCGAGCTGTTCACAACCCCAAGGAACAATGCAAGGTCATTTTCAGTAAAGAAGGGCTTGATGAAGATGAAGATCAAGAGAGAGTCATGGAAGAGTTCTGTTTGCTGCTGAATGACGACGACATTGTTGCTGCTGAGATTCCTGGAGTCCAGAATGATCAACCTGAAGTGCAAGCTACTCCCATAGCCATTCACACTTCACCAGTTGAACTCGCACAACAAGCTTGATCGGCAGCTAGATCGAGTCGACCCCTAGCTCGACCGAGTCAGAAAACATAAGTCCTCAAACCGACTTTGCTTGATCCTTACCAACCAGGTTACACATCCTCATCTTGCCTACTCAGTCAAGGCCATAAGGAAGTGATTCACAAGTTCAGAAGAGACCTTACTGAGATTGGAATTGAGTTGCCTTTTATGGAAAGCATGAGCGAGGCATTTGAGCAAATGAAGATGATTAAAGATGTTATGGCTAACAGTGATAAGGTCTCAGAGCTTCTGGAGGTGTCTACTCAACAAATCAACCTGCCTTACCTCACCTACTTTCTTACCAAAGGTGAAGGATCAAGGGAAGTTCACTCTCCCTTGCACACTTGGCCATATTGAGCTTGACAATGCCTTGGTGGATTCTGGTGCAAGCATCAACCTGATCTCCCTCACAATGGCAGAAAAGCTAGGCATTGCTGGAGCATTGCAGCGCACTACTACCTCAATCATGTTTGGAGATGCAACTTCCAAGTCTCCTCTTGGCGTGTTCAAGAACTATCACTTGAAAATAGGAGAATGCATCATCCAAACTGACATCACTGTCATGGAGATGGAAGAAGAGAAGGATCTACCTCTGCTATTGGGAACCCCATTCCTTAGCACAGTTGGCGCTTCAATAGACTTTCACAAACAAGAAGTGATTCTTCACAAGGTGAATAGTTTGGTGTCTTGTCGCTTGCAGCCTAGAGGATCAGACTTTTGTGCCACTATTGAAAGCACTCCTCTCAGTTCCAAGCCTCCTGAAGCTGCCAAGGTTGTGAAAGAAAAGGTTGACAAGGAGCCAAAAGTTGTGAGAGATAAGGTTGAGAAAGATAAGGTGGACAAGGATCAAAGAGTTGATAAAGGACCAAGGATTGAGAAACCACGCCTTGAGAGGCCACGAGTTGAGAGACCACGATCTGATAAGCCACGAGCTGATAGACTTGTTCAAGCACCATGTGTCCTTAATGAGGAAAGCCTGCAAGCTTTGTTTGATGAGCCACTAGGAAGCGCTCAAAAAGAAGGGGAGGATGCAGCCTCAAAGGAACTTGTGGGAGAGAAAAGAAAGGACCCACTAGCTCAGGTTGCCGCAACCAAGCCATCTCAGCTCACAATGACCTAGTTTCGCACCAAGTTTGAAAATGGAAAGATTGAGTACAAGATAAGGTACAAAGGGAGATCAAGACCATTCTCTAGAGCCAAGGCCTTGATCACTTCAGAGTATGAAGCTCCAAGGATGAACCCTTCGGTTGTCACTGCTCACAAGAAGATTTGACTTCTCCAAAAGTTCAACAAGTGGCAAAGGAAGGCAATGAAGAAGATGCAAAAGTCCATGGACAAGATGGTGAGCAAGATCAAGAGCCTAGAGAAGAAGGTGGCTAGTTCCTCATCTAAGAAGAACAAGGCATCCATGACCTCTCCTTTCCCTAGGAGTCGATCCCTCCTCACTACACCAAGGAGACTCCCAGCCCAAGACCCTCCCAGAGCCTCATCGTTTGAACCAAGAGAAGCATGAGATAGCACACAAAAGAGAAGGAAGAGTTCAAGAGTTAGACGCTCTGACTCGACCAGCGGACTCGATCGAGTCCAAACAGAGGAAACTCAACTCGGTCGAGCTGATGGTCGAGTTGACATGGAGAAACCTGAATTCGAGAACCCTGGGTTTAAATACGACCCAGCGCCTTATCAGGACTATCCTCATGATTTTTCAATAAATGTTTTAGTTAATTCTTTTTTTGTATTTTAATATTCTTTGTATAATATTTGGTATTAATGTATTATATTAGTTTTTCCTATTTTTGTGTTTTCATGTTTCATATTGTAAATTTTGTAAGTTTATATTTTTATAAAAGTATTTTTTGTAAGTTATTACCATTGTTTGGTTTCAACAATATTTATATTCACATTGACAGTATAATATATGTTTGAACTATATTAAATATTCACATTGACAATAAAATATATGTCTTGATTTAAGCACCATAGATATATATATTATCCAGTTTGTTTGCCTCATTCTGTTATACCAACTCACAAAGTCGTTTTGTTTTATTTTTATGTGTCACAAAATCTTTTATAGATTCATCTGTGACTTTTTATAAATCTTTTTTTTCGATCATCAGAAGATAATTACGATATCTAACATATATAGCGACAACATTTTTCGTCATGTTCTCATAACGGCCAAGTTCTTCTTTCCAGATGGTCTCAAACAAAGAATAAACTTTGAACTTAATTTCATTAGTGTGTCGGGTGTTGTTTCTTTTTCCTTGCTTAAGGGTGTTCTCCATTGTTTCCTTATATATCTTTCTATGTTTTCGATGCCCGAACACACCTGCTTTTATTTATTTAATTTGTTGCGACTTAAAATTTAAATGGCCGACCGACATATTCATTTCTATGCAAATTTAATTTATACAGCAAAATTGGTCAAAAGTAACTGTATCGACACGTAAGAAAACATTATATTCTGAAAAAAATGTTTTTAATAATTCTCGAAAGGCTGTGTTAGATAAATAATGGAGGTACAATTATATAACCTATGAATGACCTAAATCATTAACAAAATAGTAGGAGGTTTACACTTGCCGGAAAAAGAAAAGAAGAGTACATTACTTTTTTACCACTACAATTTTCCTCTTTCCTCGTCTGGAAAAATAAGCGCATTGTTAACTTTGTGATCAAACTGTCAAAGCAGCACAGAGATGCACGTGTGCCTCTCTACCTTCTTTCTAATTACCATACTAGCTTATATCAACAGCTCTCAAGCCTCGAAGATATGTATAACATCTTTATTTTTCATTGCTGGTGTATAACATATATCTTTCTTCCTTTTTTACCATATTCTACTCTATTTTACTTCTTTCACGACAATATTGCCATGTCCATTTAAACTCGAAACACTTGTTTGCAACACGTAGGATTTTTATAATTTATAAAATCACGACATGTGTCATTATTAATTATGAAAGTATATTGAGATCGTGACATGTGTAATGTAATTAAAAGATAAATAATATACCTATATAATACCAACGGAAAAAAATAAACAATTAAAAATAAAAATATTACATCTATTAGGAAAAGCAAAGAAAAAACATAACCCTATTATGAAAAGGAAAAAACAAAAATCAGAAAAATATGAAAAAAATAATTAAAAAAATGTCACATTCACTAAGAAAAGGAATAAAAAACATATTCCCATTACGAAAAGGAAAAATAAAACAATATAAAACAAGCTGTATTTTGTTCAAATTTTTCTCTCATTAAGAAATAAAAAATGATGTCTTTAAAAGTTCAAGATATCACTGAAGAATAATTAACATATATTTAGATATATGGATTGAAATCAAAATGACTATTGCTACATGTGTCTAACATTTAATTAGATGATGATATAGGTTAACACAAGAAAATTAGAAAAATGTAATAACATAAATAAAAAAAACTAATAAAATAATTGTAAAACAACTAAGTAATAATGAAAATGAAAATTTAATGTCACCAAATCTTCCCTCTTTGCTGCGGGTTCGGATGCTCCTGATTTAATAGAAGCAGCGGCCACAGTGGGGATCTCAGTTGGAGTATTGCTAGTTAGGTATCTTGGGCTTCCGCTCACTACCCACTCAGTTGGACTACGAACCATTGATTGACAAGGTCCGAACACGTCTGCTCCACTGGTCACACAAACCCCTCTCATGTGCAGGCCGCCTGCAGTTGATCAAGTCAGTGATCGCTAGTATCACTAACTTTTGGTGCTCAGCTTTTATTCTGCCTCAAGGTTGTTTGGATACTATTGAGAGCATGTGTAATGCCTTTCTCTGGTCAGGCTCACCAAATGACACTCATAAATCAAAGGTGTCCTGGGATGATATTTGTTATCCAAAGGAGGAAGGAGGGCTGGGGATTAGACGGCTCCGAGAAACGTCTCTGGTTTTTGCTCTCAGTCTTATTTGGAGGTTATTCTCGTCGACAGGTTCACTGTGGGTGGCCTGGGTAAAGTCTTATCTCTTGCATGGTGAATCTTTTTGGGATGCTAGGGATGGCTCAAAAGGATCTTGGATGGGGAAAAAGATGTTAAAGCTCCGAGACAAGGCTTACCCTTTCATCAAATATCAAATTGGTGATGGAAAAGAGGCTTTTTTCTGGTTTGATAATTGGCTGGAACAGGGCAAATTGTTGGAACTGGTTGGTGCATCAGGCACACATATGTTGGGCATACCCCGCCAGGCGAAGGTGGCAATTGCAGTTAGAGGCTCAGCCTGACAATTAAGAAGGCAGAGAGGTGCTGTTCAGCGACAACTTGTGGCCCTTATCCAAGCTGCTCCGGTACCCAACAGAGAGGTTGGGAGAGATGTGGTGTTATGGCGTTATAAAGAGGGTGAGTATAAGGATGTGTTCTCCGCTGCTGCAACTTGGGACCAAATACGTCGAAACCAAACCAAGGTCACATGGTTCAGGACGATCTGGTTCGCCCAGGGCGTACCCCGTTATTCTTTCATAGCCTGGCTCTCTATTTTGAATAGGCTGGCGGCGGGTGATAGGATGAGGAACTGGGGGCATGAACAATCTTGTCTGTTTTGTGGAGAGAGGGATGAAACACGAGACCATCTGTTTTTTGCTTGTCCTTACTCTTACACGCTTTGGTCTAGTTTGGGGGGCTTGCTAATGACTAGTGCCTCTACACCGGATTGGGTGGACACTTTGTCCTTCATTATCTCCCAGGGGAGTCGCACCATGGACTCGGTTCTTCTCCGTCTCCTATTCCAAACGTCCATCTACCATGTTTGGCGAGAACGAAACGCACGAGAACGAAACGCACGACGCCATCGAACCAGCTGGATACCATTGGAGCACTTAGCTCGCTATGTGGACAAGGCAATGAGGAATCAAATTTCATCCCTCAACTATCGAGCTCCGCAAAAATTCGAGGGTCTGATGCGTCACTGGTTTGAAGTGTGTTGTCTCCCCTAAATCACATCTAGTTGATTTTGAGAAGCACCGGTTTCACTCTTCTGTTATTTGATATTCTTTATTCTTTTAGGCGAAACACTTTATAAAGCCTTACATTGTAAAGTTTAGTTCCAGAGTTGCTCAATCAATTTGAAATTTCTTAAAAAAGAAAAATAAGCAGGAAAAAAAAAATAGAATAAAAGCTGAGAGTGTGTCACGTGGCCATCTCTCCGTGCTGATGTGGCGGTCAGCTGGAGAGAGATGGCCTCTTATTATATATAAGATATATATATATTATCTTATTATATAAAGTTGGATGCGCACGACGTGGTTGCGACACGTAGGATTTTTATAATTTATAAAATCACGACATGTGTCATTATTAATTATGAAAGTCTATTAAGATCGTGACATGTGTCATGTAATTAAAAAATAAATAATATACCTATATAATACCAACGAAAAAAACAAACAATTAAAAATAAAAATATTACATCTATTAGGAAAAGCAAAGAAAAAACATAATCCTATTATGAAAAGGAAAAAACGAAAATCAGAAAAACATGAAAAAAATAATTAAAAAAATGTCACATTCACTAAGAAAAGGAATAAAAACCATATTCCCATTAAGAAAAGGAAAAATAAAACAATATAAAACAAGCTGTATTTTGTTTAAATTTTTCTCTCATTAAGAAATAAAAAATGATGTCTTTAAAAGTTCAAGATATCATTGAAGAATAATTAACATATATTTAGATATATGGATTGAAATCAAAATGACTATTGCTACATGTGTCTAACATTTAATTAGATGATGATATAGGTTAACACAAGAAAATTAGAAAAATGTAATAACATAAATAAAAAAACTAATAAAATAATTGTAAAACAACTAAGTAATAATGAAAATGAAAATTTAATGTCACCAAATCTTCCCTCTTTGCTGCGGGTTCGGATGCTCCTGATTTAATAGAAGCAGCGGCCACAGTGGGGATCTCAGTTGGAGTATTGCTAGTTAGGTATCTTGGGCTTCCGCTCACTACCCGCTCAATGACCAAGCTGGACTACGAACCATTGATTGACAAGGTCCGAACACGTCTGCTCCACTGGTCACACAAACCCCTCTCATGTGCAGGCCGCCTGCAGTTGATCAAGTCAGTGATCGCTAGTATCACTAACTTTTGGTGCTCAGCTTTTATTCTGCCTCAAGGTTGTTTGGATACTATTGAGAGCATGTGTAATGCCTTTCTCTGGTCAGGCTCACCAAATGACACTCATAAATCAAAGGTGTCCTGGGATGATATTTGTTATCCAAAGGAGGAAGGAGGGCTGGGGATTAGACGGCTCCGAGAAACGTCTCTGGTTTTTGCTCTCAGTCTTATTTGGAGGTTATTCTCGTCGACAGGTTCACTGTGGGTGGCCTGGGTAAAGTCTTATCTCTTGCATGGTGAATCTTTTTGGGATGCTAGGGATGGCTCAAAAGGATCTTGGATGGGGAAAAAGATGTTAAAGCTCCGAGACAAGGCTTACCCTTTCATCAAATATCAAATTGGTGATGGAAAAGAGGCTTTTTTCTGGTTTGATAATTGGCTGGAACAGGGCAAATTGTTGGAACTGGTTGGTGCATCAGGCACACATATGTTGGGCATACCCCGCCAGGCGAAGGTGGCAATTGCAGTTAGAGGCTCAGCCTGACAATTAAGAAGGCAGAGAGGTGCTGTTCAGCGACAACTTGTGGCTCTTATCCAAGCTGCTCCGGTACCCAACAGAGAGGTTGGGAGAGATGTGGTGTTATGGCGTTATAAAGAGGGTGAGTATAAGGATGTGTTCTCCGCTGCTGCAACTTGGGACCAAATACGTCGAAACCAAACCAAGGTCACATGGTTCAGGACGATCTGGTTCGCCCAGGGCGTACCCCGTTATTCTTTCATAGCCTGGCTCTCTATTTTGAATAGGCTGGCGGCGGGTGATAGGATGAGGAACTGGGGGCATGAACAATCTTGTCTGTTTTGTGGAGAGAGGGATGAAACACGAGACCATCTGTTTTTTGCTTGTCCTTACTCTTACACGCTTTGGTCTAGTTTGGGGGGCTTGCTAATGACTAGTGCCTCTACACCGGATTGGGTGGACACTTTGTCCTTCATTATCTCCCAGGGGAGTCGCACCATGGACTCGGTTCTTCTCCGTCTCCTATTCCAAACGTCCATCTACCATGTTTGGCGAGAACGAAACGCACGAGAACGAAACGCACGACGCCATCGAACCAGCTGGATACCATTGGAGCACTTAGCTCGCTATGTGGACAAGGCAATGAGGAATCAAATTTCATCCCTCAACTATCGAGCTCCGCAAAAATTCGAGGGTCTGATGCGTCACTGGTTTGAAGTGTGTTGTCTCCCCTAAATCACATCTAGTTGATTTTGAGAAGCACCGGTTTCACTCTTCTGTTATTTGATATTCTTTATTCTTTTAGGCGAAACACTTTATAAAGCCTTACATTGTAAAGTTTAGTTCTAGAGTTGCTCAATCAATTTGAAATTTCTTAAAAAAGAAAAATAAGCAGGAAAAAAAAAATTAGAATAAAAGCTAAGAGTGTGTCACGTGGCCATCTCTCTGCGCTGATGTGGCGGTCAGCTGGAGAGAGATGGCCTCTTATTATATATAAGATATATATATTATCTTATTATATAAAGTTGGATGCGCACGACGTGGTTGCGACACGTAGGATTTTTATAATTTATAAAATCACGACATGTGTCATTATTAATTATGAAAGTCTATTAAGATCGTGACATGTGTCATGTAATTAAAAAATAAATAATATACCTATATAATACCAACGAAAAAAACAAACAATTAAAAATAAAAATATTACATCTATTAGGAAAAGCAAAGAAAAAACATAATCCTATTATGAAAAGGAAAAAACGAAAATCAGAAAAACATGAAAAAAATAATTAAAAAAATGTCACATTCACTAAGAAAAGGAATAAAAACCATATTCCCATTAAGAAAAGGAAAAATAAAACAATATAAAACAAGCTGTATTTTGTTTAAATTTTTCTCTCATTAAGAAATAAAAAATGATGTCTTTAAAAGTTCAAGATATCATTGAAGAATAATTAACATATATTTAGATATATGGATTGAAATCAAAATGACTATTGCTACATGTGTCTAACATTTAATTAGATGATGATATAGGTTAACACAAGAAAATTAGAAAAATGTAGTAACATAAATAAAAAAAGCTAATAAAATAATTGTAAAACAACTAAGTAATAATGAAAATGAAAATTTATAATGGTCAGAGGCAAAAAAAATTGAAAAAAACAATACAAATAGAAAACTAACAAAATAATTATCAAGGAACTAAATAATCTTAAAAAGAAATTTTTATAATGGACCGATCTTCAAATATTAATAGTTTAATTTATTTTTATTTGAAAATAAAGATTTCATCAATTGAAATCTCTTAAATGGAATAATAAAAGTTTCATGAATTAATGAGTCGATTAGATTTAGACATGTCTAAGACTTTCTAATTTAGATAAAAATAAAGGGATAACAAATTAATTTATTTTTTTATATCAAGAATTCAAAATAAAAATGTAAAAGGATTATGTATTTTATTTTATTAAGAGAAATGTTATCGGTTTTTAATGTATTTCACTTATTTTTTAAAATGATCAAATTTTGTTTAATATTTTTCTGTAATTTATTTCAAAAATCTTAAAATAAACCGCGTATACGCGGGGCCTAATCTATTATTATATAAAGCTGGATGCGTGCAACGTGGTTACGACACGTAGAATTTTTATAATTTATAGGATCGCGACATGTGTCACTTTTAATGTTACGTCCGTTAAGATCGTGACACGTATTTTGGAAAAAAAATATATATAATAATATTTAAATGTTAGAAAAGGAAAAAATATATTTATTTGACATATCCTAATAGAATAAGGTTTACCATTCATCAAAGTTATATTATCTTTAACACATATTTAATTCAAAATAATGTAATAAATAAAATCCTATAAGTACATGGAATAGGTTATGTAAACTAAATTTCATAACTGCATGGAATAGGTTACGTGAACTCCTATAAAAATAGAGTTAAGGTAATCTCTTTTTTCTTATTCACAAACTCATCAAAGAAAATTCATCAAATCTCTTTGATTATCTTTATCTAATTTAAAAATCATGTCTCTAAAAGTTCAAGAAAAGAGTGGAGATTATTTGACTCTAAGTCAATTGGATTGAAATTGAAATTATCGCCGTACTATACGTGTTATTCCAAAGTGGGAAGTTAAAAATTATAAGGAAAATAATATTCTTATGGGAGTTGAGCTACTATAGGTTGTTTGCTTGTGTCTTCAGGGAGGTCTCTATGTTACTGTAGATTGGCCATGATTGGGGTTTGGTTCTTTGGAAGGGTCTCTAAAAGCTGTGAAGCTCCTCTTGGTTGGTGTTTTAGTTCAAGTTGGTGTTTGTTTTTCATCTATGTTCAAACTTAGACTGCTTGATTAGTTTCTTTTTCAGTTGCTTTGTGTGTTTGCTTTTGCCTTGTATTTTGGCCTTCAGTTCCCCTTTGTGGGCTTTATTTCTCGGGAATTTTCGTTTTCCACCAGCCTAGTATCTCAAATGTGTATCCCAAAAATTATTCCACTTTGGTTTTTATATAATTCTTGAAAAAAAAAAGCTACTATTACTCGATGAAAAGAAATAAAATATATTAACATTAAATTTTTACTTTTGTTTGAAACAAGAAAGCATAATTCAAATTTTTGTGATATTTATAACTCATCAGATCCTGAAATGTGTTATTATTAATTCTAAAAGTATTAAAATCGTGATATGTGTTACTAAAGAATTTAATAAAATTTGCTATAATAAAATAAAAAATAGATAAAAGACAAATAAAATTTTAATCCTTATGGAAAAGGAAAAATAATTAAAGAAAATAAAAATAAAGAATCATAAACATCATAAAGAAAAAAGAAAACAAATAATTAAAAAAAAAAATCTTATGGAAAAAGGAGAAAAATTGTGATGTTTGCTTAAAAAAAAATCTTGTTGTTAAGATGAATCGAGATACAATTTATTTCTCTAACATATTCTTCAAAAAAGTTATTTGAATCATGACTTCAATTATTAAATTTAGGAAAATGTACATATAAAAGTAAATCAATTTCTAATGGTGCAGTTTTCTAATTTTATTTACTTTTTAAAATAATCAGATATTTTTTTAATAAATAATAAATTATAAATTCACATGAGACTTTATCTAATTTAATATAGGGTGAATTAGCTTAATAATCATATTTGGAGACTTAATTAAGGATATAGCCATAAGAGAGAGAAAATTGCATTTTACTAAAAAAAGAATATGAAGTTACAGCAATAGCCTTCAGTTTTTAGGTGGGAAAGAATCCTCCAACCGGCTATGACGTCATAAGATTTGATGTGTACACTAAAGGAACTGGAAATATTGGACCACACATGTTCTCCTACAAAACCAACTACTACGTGTCACTAATCTCTTTGTCACAGCATTTTACCGAAGCTCTCGAACTGTCAATCTTTAGCTTAATGCCTTAATCATTAGAAGTTTTGATTATGCCTTATTTGCTGAACTTAGACATTCCATTCCACATATAAGCAATGTAAGATGGAATTAAAATATTTAGTGTTAATAGACTCTAAACCTTAACCCATACTGTAAACTCTAAACCCTAAACCCTCAATACAAAACCCTAAATCCTTACCACAAAACTCTAAACCTTAAACCTTAATCCTAAACTCTAAACATGATAAACCCTAAACACCCATGACCTACATCCTCAACATTAAACTTTAAACCCTAAACAAAATAGATCCTAATCCCTAAACCATTCACCCTTACACCCTAAACCACAAAACATTGTCGACAATAAGAAACCACATTCACGGAGCTCAGGCGTGACATTCCATTTTCCTTGATTATAGTATAAATACAGTCCATACCACCTTATTTTCTCGGTTATGGTATGGAGTGAATGGACTGGAGTCGTGGTTTTTAATAATGTGGTGTATCGTGTCCAGTTTCTCGTACATTAAAACAGTATGACATGGAATCGAAAATTAAATCAGTTGTTCAACATTAAAACAGGTGTTCCACAATAAAACACTGAACATTGAAACATAATCGACATTATAATGACAGTTTGACAAATAGTAAACAACCCGGTAACTGAAATAAAATTTGCAGCTGCCTTAGACTCCTTTTCAAGTGAGTCGTTGATTCCAAGGAATCGTACACGGCTACAGCGTAGTTCCGACTTGTAGTACGCAAGGTGTCATTGTCACCGTCTATGTCGCCATATGCTTGATGCTGCAAAATTTTAACATATTGGGTAAGTTTATAACTGTAGTTATGCAACTCAATAAAACACTCATCCAATACTATACTATCCACAAACCAAACCAAGTATTCAGTCTATACCATTACTTCATGTACTATACCATTGGTATTATGTAACTGCACTTTTCACATAGATTTAGATCTCAAACCCGCTACACCTTCATTTTATACACCACTACTTGAACAAGCAATTAACCATTTTTATACACTTGCAATTTGTCATGGATTCACAATCTAACCTCTCATTCGTTCTTTACCATGTAAACCCCAATCCGAAGCTTAATTTCCAAACAGAATTTCAATTTAGAAACTTGATTGTAACCACATACCTTTCTCTCCTCAGATCTTCATCCTCGGAATCACCCTCCTTCGCCCTAAACAGCTTCAGTGAGGAATAATTTCAATCTCGCCATCGTTAATCTTCTCCATAAATCTCGACCATTCCTTATTAGACCGTAAATCCTATGTGTTAAGTTTCTAATGAGAGAAAAATAAACCCTAAAGAAAGAAGAGATTGTTTTCAGTTTCGAATTTTGATTTTGACTTTCTCACTTCTTTAACTGTCTACCTAGAGAGCGGTTCTCACACACAGAGCAAACCTCTTCTTTCTCTTTCTAAACTCAGGGTTAATTTAGTCAATATTCCAGAAAATATATCGTGTATTCTAACCAAACTAATATAATAACTATCCTCTCAATTATGTGTTTCAATATGATTATCTAATGTAATTTTCCTATAATATAAAATAAGAATTTACAACTTGATAAATACTCTTGCCGATTGCCGACAACCGACAACAATAATATAAAAAAGGAGATGTGAGGGTGCCAATGAAGTGGCCGACCAAGGCACCAAGCCCTACCATGTATTTAAAATATTACCCGACGAATTGTACACACGTATTCATATCTTGAAAAAAATCAATCAAGATCAGACTGGATTAGGATTGATATTTGATATTTCTAATATACTGATTTTATATATTGTTTTCAAATAT